AACGAAACACTTGGAAGAAACTCATGACAGATATGCATGTTCTCGATTAGCAAGAAATAGTCAGTTGTATCGCCATTGTTAACTGGCTATAGAAAGCTGATAGAGAACGAACGCAATTATTATTATTATGCCTACAGAGTAGTCGGGCTGACAAAAATTCAAAAATTTCTAAGAGAGAATGAAAACACTGCGAGAGAGAGAGAGAGAGTGAGTTATTTAAGACTGCTCTTCCTCTTGACTTGTTAAGACATTACTCAACTTTTCGTTCATACTATATTACATTTTAAATTTCTCAGGAAACCTGATCATCAATGGTACGCATCAACATGGCTACAGCCTGAAGTATGCGACCGAGGGCATTTCTTTGATGCTACCCTCATCGAGTGAAGGGGAAAGACACTACACCATGGTCGTTCTCGACACCCAAGGCTTTCAGCGTGCAGCAGCCGCACCGTTTATATTAGATCGCTCTATAACCGATGAATTTATCCAGGCCATGGTCGTTGATCTAAGTGATATCGTTATTTACGTTGTGAACACGTTGCGTATCGCAGATCAGTTAAAAATTCGTTTTTTACAAAAAGAAATGGCGTCAAAAGACACAGAAAATAAAAAAAAACTGTTTATTTTGCATAATTTCATGCATCTATTTGAAACAACAGATGTTCAAGAATACATTAAAACGGATATAATCGATGCATTTGGTGGCAAAGAAATTCAAAATCCTGAGGGTGAATTGTGGTATCAAAGTAAAATGATCTCAAAATTTCCCGTTGTTCATTTCATTATGGCAAATGCATTTAGCGAGGCAGGTGTATATTATAACGCAAAAACGATTCGTTTAATTCAGAAATTTATTGGTACCTATCCGACGACATCAAGAAAAATAAACATGACCGAAGCGGTCATGGAACACTTACACAACGTTCTACCATCTTATTTTTATCCAACTAGTTTGAAGTCTCGCGCTGAGGCTCTAGGTGCAAATCAAACGTTTATCGAAGTTGTTCAGTATTCACAAAATGTAATCACCAGATTTTATAAACAAGCAACGCACACTGTGCAATCGACGAAATCTAAAGTGTCCAGTTGGCTTTTTGGGAGCTTAAGTAAAGAATCCAAGAAGCAAACTCCCCATGACTATTTTGAAATTGCTTACGTCCCATCAGAAGAACTTAACAGTAGTAAAGGTTATATTCGGTTAGTTGAACCACGTAAATTACAATATCTACCAATGGACTCCATAAGCGGTCGACCCGACTATTTTCCCAAAATTAGTGTCGATGAACTCATCTCTAATGATATCTGGAAGTTGTATATCGATGCGCCTGGTAGTGAGGACATTCAGTGGAGTGTTCAATTTTTTGAAAATGATTTACCACTGTTTACCATTCAAGCGAGACGAGAGCTTCCCCAGGATTATTCTCAAAAATCATCAGCGTTTCGAAAAGCACGAGATGTCCTTCATATTGATCGTTTTACAGACAGTTTCATTTTGCATAACGTTTTGAATGCGCGTGAGATGGCTTATACGATAAAAACGCAAGAACGCCAGTTTGGAAGATGGGTGCGACATGTTCAAATATCCTCGGCTGTGATGACGGATACGATCAAAACTGAATATATCGACGGTGTTATTATTGTACAAGGAAAATTACGGACAACCAGTGCGAATTCAAGGTCGACCGATTTGTAATGACAAGTTTCAAACACTGAATTCTTCATTTCTTCAAAAACTAGTTTAGTTAGTTCACGTTCAAACTATCTGTTGTTGATTTTTACGTTACCTTTTTATTATATATCCTCATATTTTCAACTGTTGAGTAGTCAGGTATAAGGGTAGGTCTACCTTTGCATCTCGCTTTAGGTGACGGTCAAGTGATGAGCACAGTAAAAAAATTGGATCTCCTGATTTCACACAAGAAACAAAAATCTTATAAGGAATCTGAATTTTCTTGACCTTTTGGGACGATGTATATGACTGACTTTCGTTTTCACAATCGTGATTAATGCTGTCAACTCGTATCCTTCCTATTACGATAAACTCGTGACATCGAACTCCCTATGTGTCTCACGCGAATTTTACTCAAATGTTTCGTTGAACAATGCACAAATTTTTACCGGCTCTGATTTTTACCGTGTTGTGTTGGGTTAAGATACTTTTTACTGTCCCAAAATGTTACGGTAAATGTGTAGCAATGTCATACTAAAAGTGTGACAATATTACGTTTTACCGTACGATTTAAAAAAAAGTGTGGTTTCTCACCTACTTTTCTCTGAATCATTCTATCATTGAATAAGATTTGTTAAGTAAAACAGTATAGCGTAAGATTGTCACACTTTTAGCATGACACTGTTACACACTTACCGCAACATTTCGGGACTGTGTTTTATTTCTTACTCTGAAAGAGACAAGGAAAAATTCTCTTAAGAGCCATTGCACGTAAGCCACGACCTATTACAGCGGAGTGGCCTTCAATCGATGTTCTCAAAACTTTTCCAAAGTAGGGGGCTTTTGTAGACCAAACATTTTAAGGAATTTTGGTAAAAGGCGCAAA